TTTTTTTTTTTTTTGAAGACCGAATCCCCCAAGGTATCGGAGGGAGCAGTCTACTCATAATAAAGTTAATAAACCAAATTTGGCAGAGAGATTTATGGAAAATTAACACAGATTTATGGTTTAATAGCACGATTTTCGTCTACAATTGGAATTGGAAATTTACACCAAAAAATAAATCACATCCAAATTCACCAGCGTGTTTAAATTACGCGCTGCCACTTAAGAGGGCATTTAAACAAAGCCACGCGAATTCCACCTCGTAATATTATTGGAGAGGGAGGGTTTTTGTGGGCGAAATGATTACCTTTTGCGCTTTTTAATGTTCACTGTTCTTCATTTGAGATCAAGTGAGTTTTTTCTTTGTTGACTGAAGGGAGGCAATAGAAAGGGCAGAGAGCAAGAGAGGGTGTTGAAGGTGCCATGGTACCGTCAACACACCTAAAGTTCCCCTTCGCTTGATGGTTGAGCTTTATCTTTAACAACCACCCTCTTTTTCTTCCTGGCAGTTGTGATAGCGAAGAAAATATACGGGGTTTTGCTGCTCATGAAACGCTGTCGGGTGGGGAAAAGAGGAAGCTGAGGATGAGGAGGAGAGAAGGTGATGGGTGGTTGGTTATGTCTAAATGAAGGCGATATTTTAGACCCAAAGTGACACTTATGGCACACCGAGAATGGATGAATGGTTGTTGGTATAAATTTCCTCGTCGTCGACATTTCCTTTTCCAGCCTAATTCAACCCAGTGGATTTGATAAGCCTCCCCTATAAAATGTGACTTTTGGTGGAACATTTTGAGTGCATTATGACTGTTTCATGTTCACTCCTCGTCCTGAAGTTCAACCTAATCCAAGTTGCCATAACTTTCGTTTCTACAAAGGGCACAATAACTTTTCCCTCCCCACCACAATGCGAAAGATATTTTATGTCTGAACACGAAACTACAACACAGACCATTTATTTTAAGTTATAGCCCTCTTGGAATAGATTTAAAATATGACTAGTAGCTACCTTTTCTCAAAAAAAAAACAAAAATGTTTCAGTAATTGTCTTTCAAACGATCACGTGGTGGCTGAAATCGAATAAGTAGCATGTGTAGCGGAAAGTGTATTATGAAGAACTTAGGCTTATTGCTGCAATTATGCCTCAGCGTGAAGCGCTAACCAAAGAGTATTTAGGCAACACATGTTTTCTCCCAAAATTGGCAATCCTTTCGGTAAAAAACAATATTAAAGATGAAAATCTCACTTCACTCCAGGCAGTAGTTGGTGCAGTACCAGTGAAGGCTTTGGAATCCTTTGACAAGCCAACACCCCCTAATTAACTATCCATAAGGCAGAAAGAAAAACAGCTATACGTTATCCTCCGTGAATAATTAAGCTGTTGGTTTTTTTCTTTCCTCAGTGGAGTGGAATGCGGGGAGGGGAGCACTTTTTGCGGCTCATCGTTGTATTTTGGGGTAGGACTGAGACAATAACTTGAGGAGGCTTTTTTAACCCTTCTCGTCCTGTTGCCTTTGTGACGCGATCGCATGCATTTTACCGCAGTGATAATTATGCTGTTAAGTGTTTGCTCCATGTCCAGACGGCTAGGGAAGAGGCGAGGCGTACACACCGGCCAGGTCAGCCGCTCTGGGGCAAAAGTTCCCTACAAATTGTCCATTTGCATATCTGTTTTTAAACATACTTACTAAATATGTGCACAAAATTCACTCACACAGTCAGATGGAGGGACAGATTTCGTCCACCTCGATTAGCGTCCAACAAAAAGCGAGCGCTCCGTCATTCTGATTGGAGGATTTAAATTAGATTTTAGCATTTGGGAAAAATTGAGTGAAATCTTTTTGCTCTCGGGGCGGTAGACTTAACAAAAATAGGGGCTTTGTTTGAATACCCAAAAAGAGATTTCCTACTGGCGCCGGATATTTATTGCAAGGAAGCTAGCATTTTTGGCGCTCTCTGGAGGGCACAATTACTTGAACTTGTCGCCTGCCAACCAAACAATCCTGTCTCTTTAGTGCTGTGACAGGCAGGAATGTTATTTGAACTTCACCTTAAACAGGGTGAAAAAACACAAAAGTACTACTGAAATCTGTTTTGTGGAAATAAGTAGCAAGTCGTATAATTTTTGGTAAAGTTAAAGCGAGCGTTCTTTTCATAATTGTAAGCTTTCATAGTCGTCCTTATTTGATTTATTCCAGTCTTTTTTGGTCCTCTTTACAACTGCTTATTAAGTTTACGTGGAATCTACTGAGGTTTTGAGGACCGAGCATCATATGGCTACAGGAGGCACAATGAACTGGCAGATTTTGCAAAATAGGCCAATAGCTATTAACTACACTCCATCACGCAACCATCAACACAATCTTCAAGCAGATGGCTCAGCAACGATGCTGCCAATGGCTATATTATGAGGTACTTGGGGAATTAGAAGGTCAACTACTCCCGTAGCCACCGGGCGCTGGGCTTTTAAAATTGAGGAGATTGCAACCAGGATGAGAAGTAGCTACAACTGACCACCAAAGCCGACATGTGTATCCGTTTTTTGTTTAAAAAGTCAAAATACTTGCCTGGAAACAAATCTAGCAAGACGTGATTTGCGGGCGGAGTGGGAGGCCGCTGATGGGGACGAAAGGAGAGTTGGAAATGCCTTTTTTCCAAGCAAATACGTCTCTTTCAAGGTCACATCCTTTCATAACTAGCCCCGTGCACGCAAGACATCTTCCCACTGTCGAACAACTCTTCGCCTTTATGACTGACAAGGCTAAAAAGGGTTTTATCAGTTCTGCCTCGTGATAACTCTATCAAATATTTCCTTATTCCGATGCCTCTAATGGAAAAGCGTGAAAAGATTTTCTAGTGTCAATTGCCCACCTTATTTATGCGGACCAAATATGGCTGTAAACAAAGCGATCAAAGCAAAAAAGGTGTGACAGCTGCTGCCGGAATCGAAAAAATGGGGAGGCAGAGAGAGAGAGCGGGCGAGCAACCGACAGTGACAGAGGCGGGAAGGGAACGAGTTGGTCTGTTGAGAGGCATAAATGTTTATAGAATTTTGAAAACGCCTCATGTTTACCTGCCATTTAAGTGGTGCCAACGATGTGTTGAAAATTTTAAACGACAATGACGGTGGTGGCGCGATGCCCTACACTGACGTACATCAGGTAGGAAATTTTCAAGGTCAAATGGGCAGCTTGGCAGGGTGTTTGGACGATAACGATTTGTTTCCTTCACCATTTTGACCTTGACTAGAGCCAAGACCACCACTTAACTACACATTTGGAGTGTACAGAGTTTCACTTCGACTTTTCGAAACGGCGCCACGAGGCGAATTTCATCGCCACCCCTCAACCGCGGAATGGAGGTAGGCCAAGCCCTAATAAGTGGACAAATTACAAACTTTGACATCAAATGTCTCTTCATAGAAGCAGAGGAGTGTTCAGCGGCCAGTTTAATTCCTTCTTCTCCAACACACAAGTTGATTAGCAGGACCAGTATACCTCCAACTATGTCAGGCATTAGACTGGGTAGAGCAAACAATTTTACACGCTTTGAGAGCAAAAATGTGTCTTTCCTTTGCCCACTTTAAAGGTTAGTACAACTAAACCGACATTAATAAGGCATAAGAAGGTGACTTTTCGGGTCTTTTTAAGTCGCTAGAAGGCAAACGGTTTTGTTAGTCTCAAGAACCGTCCCAAAGCCTGTGCACAGCACTTCAAGAGTTGGATTTTAAAGGCTACTTTGAGCGTAATTACTTGAGTGGATGGAGTGTCAGTGTTATTGTAGCATGGAGGAGAAAAATTGGCGTCAGCATTGACCGGAACTCACCATTTTTTTATGAAGAAGGAGGGCACAGAGCAATGCCCAATGGGCAAAGTTTCGAGTCCACTTTATTTCCTCACTCTACTTTGTGACTGAAAATTGATCTTCACAATGAAAATTTTACCATTTAGTTGTGTTAAGTGTTATTACTGGGCTTTTCTTTCAAAAGCAATGGGGAACAACTAAAAATAGGGAAGAAAAAGGACCATTTTTCTCCCTTTTTTCCGCAAAATTTAAGTGCCACAAATTTGGGGGGGAAAACTGGGTCATCCCGTACATGTCAAACAAGTAGCGAACGAGTATCAAATAAGTGAAGAACAAAATAAACGCCCATCTAGCAGAGTAAAAGTTTTCGTTTAATGCAACCTGTGTAACTGAAATAAGTCAACCTTTTATTCGGGAATTGCGTCTGTTGGAAGCATTGCGTATATTACTTCTCCACTCATGCCAATTGAAGCGTTCCAAGATGGGTAAGATAAGCTCGACAAGTTTGACAACACCCGATTGTTCATACGACTATTTGGGGCGTCTTTTCATATTGGGGAATAGAAGTGGCAGGATCATACTCCGCATTATCTGATAGGAAAAGCAAAGAAGAAGAGGGTAACTAGGCTTTACCCACCCCTAGTTTGCTAGGTTTGACAGCTCCAAGACTCGACAACAAGATGTTATGCACAAACAGTACCAGCACGAGGATTAAAAACACAAATCATCCCACCAAATCTGTATCCAAAAAGGAAATCCTTTGAATAATTTCGATAGAGTTTCGGATAATCGGGAATCCCAAATTCGCCAAAAAGAACTACAACAAAATAAGGCAAGAGTGTTTAGAAAACAAAATAAAAAGCTAATTTTTGAGGGAAAAGTGGGAACTAAAACGCAAGTCGCAATCCAAATAGTTGGGCTGGATTGCGAATGTGATGACTGACGCTTGCTGACTCCATCTGGTTCGCTTAAACAAAATAGGCAAGAAGTTCATAAATACTTCGCAGTTTAAAACACCTAAAATCTAGATCGAATTTTGTGCCAAACTAATGAGTAATTGATAAGGTTTTTAGCGAAATGTAAATGTAGAAAAACAATGTAACTTTCTCGATAAAGAAAAATCAAATTGTAAGTTAGGACTGCATTATATAATAGTTCGCGCTTTAAAGTGCCTACTAATAAATAGGATACATCTGACACGAGAAGAATTCGTAATGCACTCGTAGGCGTGGCGTTTGGGTAAATTACAACAAAATGCCTACGCGGCATTTTATGCGTGAGGATTTAATGAGCACAGAATGTAGAGCTTTCCCATGGGAAGTGCCATACGTGCCATAAATGACTGCTACGCAATGTCAAAGTAATACGTGGACATGCAAAATTTTCCTGCCGCCTACTCAAATCCTCCTAACTATTTTCTGCTTTGCCAAAAAAATTTAATGTTTCACGGAGTGTTATGATGACCAATATTGAAAGGTATTTATTTGTCGCTGAAATTCGTCCGACTGTTCTAGTTTTTTTCGATCATTGGTTGATTATGAAAGAGCTGCCTGTCTACCACCTGGTCCTTGACCCTCATACTTCTAGTGAGACAGGGCTGCAGATGATTAATTATGCATTTTTATGGGAAGAATGGGGAATGGGATGCAGATGAGGCGAGTAGGAGATCTCAAGTGGAGAGTGACTCCTCGCCGGCTTCACGCACGTGACTCGCATTCATAATTGGTTCCCGCCTCTCATCTATAAAAGTACACTTAAGCAACCTAGTATATATTACAGATTACATTTCGCTTTTTACCTTATGCTTATCAATTAAAACTTAAGACTTTGGATGGGCTTCGACGCTTACCACGGAGGTTGTTTACACAAAATATTGAGCTTTTATGTGGAAACCCATTGCTTTTTTCCAATATGGAAATTCAGAACGTCCGAACAGCCTCACTGTTGGCGTGTTCCTTCCGGACTCTACTAATTAATTATTATGGAGGCATAAATCCATCCTCGAGTTATTTTTTCAAATCCATTTATGTGAGTTTTGACATGCTCGAGGTTTGGAGAGGAATTTTGTCTGCGAGGTGAGCTCGGTGTCTCACATACAGAGCACTTTTAAACCGGCTCATTAACAATACATGATGTCAAGCTTGGTAAATTATCTTGCCACTTGACCACTTTATCCGGTCTCAAGATTCCTGATAGGGAGATGCGATCCTATAAAGTGATATTTGCCAGCCTTGTGCATCTGGGGTGCATAACGAAATAGCTGTTTACCCATTGAGGTCAAAAAACACATCTGCAGTCTCGACACCTCAACGCGGCTCAACAGTCCACACGTAAGCGATGCAGGGGAGATGAGGAAGTTTCAAGATGTGTCAAAAATGAGGTGCATATTTCGGGCGAGGCGAAGAGATTAGATCAGAGATTAGTGTGTTGGACGGTGGTTAAATCGAGAAGTCAAATATCATGAAGTTTTGCTAGTGGACTGCTTTTCCGATAACTTTGCATTAAAATTTAACTCGACAGCTCAACTTGTGGAAAGAGGATGCGCGATTTTAAAGGGATATAAAGAAATGGAGAATGGTATTTAGAGAATAAGGATTATTCCAATGAAACCCGAATCGTCCTCTCCTTACCTCGCTTTTCTCATCCAAAATATCCATCGTTAGGCTTAATCAGAGAAGCACATCTACCTTTTTATTGTCCACCATATTCGGTGGAATATTTGTTTTTTATTTCATGGTTACTTGGTAACTAGTCGATATAAATATCGTAGTTTTACATTTCTTGACTTGTTTATGTTTACCATGGCCCCCCACACGACTTTCTCAATTTTACAGATTTTCGTTGTTATTTTGTTGGTTTATTAAGCGAATAAGTCATTTACTTGGTGAATAATAAATAATCATTTTTTTATTTTACAGAAGGGTAATTAATGCTAAAGACGGGTGACTGATATTTGCAGCAAAAACGAGTTTTCCAACTCAAGGAATGAATGGAAACGCGAGAATGTCCTTTTTAAAACTTGTAGCTTTATTATAACGCAATTTCAAGCAAAAATTTGGCATAACAAGCATTAACCGTCATTTGTTAGGTCAGAATAATGAGCTGTTAACTGACGTGCTACTTAATTACCGAATGATTTTAAGTAGTATGACACGATCAGACAAAACCATGTTTTAAAAAGTGGGTAGAAGATTAATTTTGAGAGCATATTTAACGCAAATTCAATTCTGCCATTGGCCTTTGGTGTCATTTCTCCCGTTAAAGTACCTCGCTTACATCCATTTGAAAGTCGTGACAATCGTCTGTCAATTCTGCAGACATTTGGCAAAAGCGTGCTCTTCGTTGTGTCTAAAGCACCCGCTCATAAACTTTTCAGCATTTCCGAGCGATGCTGTGAGCTTTACTTTTATGTCTACATATTCTGGAGCATGCTCGACTTCTTTGGCCCCTCGGGATACCATTCTTAGGAGTTTAACGCCTTTTTAAGGACCCATTGGAATTCCTTCGTCGGTGGTCCTACTTCCAGGCGCTGTGGAGATCAGCCCTGTCCGGAACTCCCCTGCCAGAACCTCTGAAGGAAAGAGGATCTCCAGGAGCCCTTTCACATCCGCGACATTGCTCTCCCACTATTTCACAATGTTCCACATCACCAGTGTCATCATTAGCAAATTCAACCTCCACAAATCGCAGCTTCCGCACCTATCAGCCTGTCTGCCTGCGTCTGCTAACACGACGCGCAGTTCGAGGCTACGTTGCCCGTGCTGAAATGACACGTCGTCATGGCGCATCAGCAGCATTGACACCGCCTCTAACAGTCCCAGCATTGCAAAGATTCCTGGGTTACTTCCACAGCCTTCATCACATGCTGGGCGCGCCATTGCCGCCAGCTCTTCAAGTCCTTGTGTCCACCGCAACTAACATTATGGACGGCAATAGTTCAACTTTGCGGAGCAGTGAGGACGCCACTTCACCCCCTGAACTGCTCATCCGAAGCTGAAGTGCTGTGAACTGCTCCACTCACTCCACTCTTTCCCACTTCTCACAATCGCAAGATCCTCACTTACAACCACAAATGTATTTTACTTCGCGCTAGTAAAGCACGCACTGACAGGCGCAATTTCCGCCTTCCCTCCTCCCTTCTCCAACCCCAAATTTTCCTTTCCTCACCCTTTACCTCCACATATTCGAATTCGTTGCTTGATCGCACATTTAATAAAAAACCTGCAGATTAAAAAAAGTTATCCTATTAGCCGACTAATTATTTTAAGTTTTGTTTCAGCTCCGAGATCAAGGACACGTGGGTGGGTTAGCACAAAAAAAACATCTTCTTCACAGACTGCCTTTGTGGGTCACTTAGGAGCTGCGCAGGGTTTGCGCTCACTCGAATTGTCTTATTTAATAAAAATTCACAACAATAAAGCAGTTGGTTGGACGTTTTTTTTTACACAAGTCGATTTCTGACGCCCTGCGATCGCATATTCTGTGGCGTCAAAGTGAGGCTGAAGTAGAAAATGCGTATTTTTTATGGCTTGCGGAGTATGCTTGAGATTTAATCAGATTAGTGATAAAATATGGAGGCAGTTACTTCGGGAATTTCGTTGCTCTACTCCTCTACCTGCATATTGTAGACCCCTGGGATCGAGGAGATTGGCTTAGGGAGCTACGCATGAGTGGTGGTGGAGGCGAGGTGACCGGACTGTGGCCTTTCGCAGAGCCTAGCGACACATGGTCAGCTTCCAGGGCGGTTTAAAAAGGCTGCATACCTGCTGCTAGGTGATCATGTCATGCAGAAGTAACTCCAAACCCATTTTCCTTCTCGCCTTCCACCATAGGTAACGCTATTTACCAGTAGATGATTCACTGGTATGCGGTTAATGATTCAGCAACACCTGAAGACTTCCAATAAAACTTTAAGAAAGATATGCCCCAGAATAGAGTAGGGACGCATTTCTTTACTAAGAATCCCTTACTTAAATAAAAAAACATGCGAGCCTTATTCCCAAAAATTATTATCATTCTCTTTAGCAACCTCTCTTACTCGACCTACCTACTTAAAAGCTATTTCAGTAGCGGAACCAAAATAATTGGAGAACTTCGGTTATGGTAGGCATCTCTTGTAGACACGAATAAGGAAATGCATGTATCTGCACTTTGACGGAAAAGGTGTGTGCAATGAATGGGAAATGGAACGTGCAAAGGGGCAGAGAGTTCAAAAATCCGCATTTGTTATCCTCACAAAGCGGTTGTATAAAAACAGGCCCGTATTTGTTGACAGGGTAGAGATTAACGCATTCGAATCCACTTCGTGGCTCCCACTCAAATGACACCCTCATAGTTTACAATATGTATATTTCCATCTTCACTAAGGAAGTTAGAACCAAGCAAATCCAGATGATAGCAGGAGAGTCACAATTGAAGGCACTGCACTTAAAATCTCTCACATTTCTATAACCCCAAAGTACATCCACACTAAGCTTAAAGCGTATTCAAAAGATTTTACTGCTTGTCACTGCCAAATCTACTGGTTGGAGACGGTAGAGGAGCTAGCAAAAAAACACCAACTCTGTAGATATGCTTCCACCCAAGCCGACCAATCAAATGGGAACGGGAAGAAGAGCAACAGTCCTAGCCATGCCATATTCGCCCTCATTTTTGGTCATTTTTTTCACCTGTTTATCCCTTTCACGTCTCTGAAAGGTAGTATGAGGGGGCTAAGACACCGACTAGCATCTACTCCCTCCACCTGTTGATGGAAGGGCGCCCTGAGACTTCACACAGATTAACCAAGCTGGTGGTGCGAATCCGACGACAACGTCGGTGAGCATTGCACTTGTTTCATCAAGGTGGTGTTTTTTTAAACATGTTCCTTTGATGCCTACCACTCAGTAGTCGTAAACAGAATTGCATGCAAGCGTGTGGAAAATTTTAATGAGCCTTGTTTACGGAAACAAGACAAAGTCGCCGATTTGAGTAGCTTTTCAGTGATATCTTTGCCCATCTAGAGTACCATCCTAAAAGGGACAAATAGGAGACGCCATGTCCTAAAAATGAAAGTAAAGGTGAAAATGGACCATAAAGTGGCTTATGTTGGGTCCATTTGATTAGTTTGGGTCGCTGAAATGCGTATAAGTAGGTAGTGCCTTGATGAGATGATTTTGGCATGAATTCCACCTCCGGTACTTGCCTCACTGTCTTTTTCACTTTAAAAACCACCCAAAAAACCCATTCTGTATAGGGGATTGAGAACTACTAAAAATAGGTTGACTTAATTATCGTGATAGGAGATGTGGAATTTGCTGCGCGGAACAAGTACTCTACGCCTTTTGTCCTTTGAACTTGCCCATAATGTGGCCTATTTAGTAGTCTAACAGAGCCCCATTTCAGATGCAAAGTTGCTGAGAGTACTGTCAGACACTTTAATGGCGTACTTTTGCCCCTCCACCCACGTGGAACCGCAGAAATCAGAACTTCTGGGTGTGACATTTGTTCACACCTCCACCGTCTACTGGATTGCCGTCATTTACTGACTTCGGTGGAGGCAATTTGAAATCTTCAATGGCCAAATAACCATTATATGTGAGTGGTCAATCAAGAGCTTAAATAAAATTTGTTCCATTAAACATACTACTTATTTCAATTAAGTCTGACCAATACACTGCTCCACCATTGCACATTGGATAAATATGTGGCAAAGTTACGCCAGCTCTCCAACTGAAAATTGCCTACAAAAGAGTTTATTGCAATCCTCTTAAGTCGTGTTCGTGTTATAATTTTGGGGTCTATCATTATAAAGCAGTGCTGGTGGGCATACCAATGACAAAACAAACTTTCAAGGGATTCACACCTCGATCTTGAAGCCGAAGGAGTCTTACACTCATTTTGGTAATAGGATATCTTGTCCAGATATCTTTTCGTGGGATATACTGACTTTGTGATGGGCCAATTAGTTGAGGAGGAAGGAGAGGTAGTGGGAGGAAAAAGGGACGCAGAAGCACTAAAAGTCGCTGCTCATTAGGGCAGCTTGTGATTGATGCATCGGGTACTATTAGTCTTGCCTAAAAGGAATGTTGTGTAAACGCATACTGTAGAAAGAAAGGGAGAAGTACCAGGCCGAATTCAGCGAGAAAGAAGAGAGGAGTGGTGGAGGCGTACTTGTGGAAGAAATTATGGAAATGCTACAAGACAGTAAATATGATTGACAGCAAACTTTGCTATTACTCGTCTGCTTAAATTAAGACATCGGTATAGTATTTCATGGATTCTACACCGAGTAACTGATAGGAGAGAGATTTTTATTCTTTTTCAAACATTCTAAAATTACAAGCTGGGTTTTTACACGTTTTAAGGAAGAAAGGTAACAAGACCACTTAGCATTGTCCCTAAGCTAACAAGCTAATTATTAATTCACTAAAAAGCTAAAAATTTTATAACGAATTTATTTAATTTATCGAGGACAGCTCCTATGGCGCAAGGAAACATGAAGTGTCTAACCCTCACATCAAGGTAGGAAGTCAAAATTTATCTACCTGATGCTTGGATTGTCAACGTTACTTAATCGTTTGCTTAATTATAGGAGTTTTAATTTAACCACAACTTTAGAACAAATTTTTCCCCTTCTTCTCCTTTACCTCTCTTCATTGTTGCTGCAATTGTTTCCACAACCAAAAGCGGGTTTTAAACATCGCGCCTTAATCATCGTGCTGATTGGCTAATACCAAGGTCGAATCCTGCAGCACTAACCAATGGGGTTTGAGAGTCACTTAACAGGGCCCTTTGCATGCGTATTGCGGTGTTGCGTACTCAGAGAAGAAAGTGATTTACACAGTCGCTTCTTTTTCCCAATCATTGCAAATGATTATGTGATTGATGTGATTATGTGATTGATAAGTGTAGTGCCAAAATTTGCCATTCTTATGCGATAGTAATCGGTGTTTAAACTTGGGCTATTGAACAAAGAAGACAATTAATTTCATGAAAGATCGTGTACATCTAGGAAGGTAGAATAATTGGAAGGTTGTAAGTAAGCCATGCATAACTGGCTTAAGTGATGGATGTCCTCATCGGGGGCTCTACCAACTCTTCGTCCTTCTTCCTACGTGCGGTTTCATTTCCGAAACCGTCCGTCAACCCATGTGCCACCCATTCATCCTATCGGCGAGAATTAAACGACCTTCTTATTTACTGGGAATTTATCGCCTTTCTTATCCGCCGGTCCATGCAGGACTGCTTAGTTCGGTTTCATTTGGATTCACTCTTTCCTCCTATACTCACCTTCAATCCATCTGCCTATTGTGCATTCTCTTTTTGCCCATTATTACAGATTATTTTTTTCCCCTTATTCACCTTACTTCTCACTGCGCTGCCTATGAGAGTTAGTTAGGGCGGAATGCCCCTTAAACCAAAAATTCGGCTTTTGTTGCCACCTATTGTACCGCCGTAATTGCGGGACGTCGGTCGCAACGATTGAGGCATCTCTTAATGAACTCATCCATCCTAACTTCACCTTCCACCTGGATTAGGCCCCGAGGGTAAAACAAAGGCACTCTCATTTTGAGGAAGAAAATTCAGCCAATGCTTGAGCTCTTTACTCTTAAAATTCGCATTTCCCTCAACAATGTCTTCGTCCACTTTTACATCCAATTGATGTGTCACTGATTCACCACACCACAAACCAATCCAAATGCAGCTCCTCTCGCATCAAATTTTGCTTCCCTCCGCCTCCACCTTCGCCACCTCCGCTCTAAGCGCTAAATGAGGCATCAAAGTTTGCCTGAACAGGGCAGCTCTACCAATGGAGGATAAAAAAAAACAAACCTCAAGGATACATTGGTGCACCCTTAATCCGAGTTGTCTTTCATCCTTCCCATTGTTTTTTTTCTCTTTTTGCCACCAATATTTCCACCTCATGTAACAAAGTGAGTAGCACGCCTCGTTGAGCTACCCCGTGAAGTGAAGACACCATGAAACAAATTCAATTCTTTTTCCCCTCCTTCTTCATAACACTTTGTAAACTTTTGTCAAAGTAAACAATTTAGTTTTAAAGTGGACTTATTTTTTGCTTTGGATGAGTGGATATTGCGCCTTCGTGTCAAAACGGGGCTCCGCCTTCTTCGCCTCGGTGTTACCTTGTCTCAGTAACATTGGCGGTAGGCGAGAAAAACAAAAGGCCATTTTCTAGAGTAAATTCTTGCTTAAAAGCATAAATAATGAAGTTGACTTAATCATTTGCATGGTTTGCTGTTTAAAAATCTCCCACCGAAGTCGCATTCCAGACATAGCAGCCTCTTGCTGTTGTTGATGCCCTGAATTCGGCTTGTTCACAGTTGTCCTGGTTACTGGCTGATTGTGTTCGGGTTTTGGACCGTCAAATCGCTTCAATTTGGGTGGAGGATGTGGCTTTGGGTCAGCAAGTTAGCTGGAGTCGTGGAGAGTGCGGTGTGCTTGAAGATCTCGTTGATGATCTGCAGGATGGCGACGTACCACACGGTGAATGCTTTTCGCCTCCTCGCTCTCTCTACTTTAGTAAAGGTTTGCCTTGCTGCCGTTTGAAACTCCACGTTCATTTAAGAGCGTTTTGTGGACGTTGACTTCTGACGGCTGATTAAAGGCTCGAGATTTCCACCATCTAACCACCTACAACCAAAACGATAATCTTATCAGCACTTTTGTGAAATGACGCCATTAATATATCATTTTAATTAAAATAGCCTTTGTTGATAGGTAACTACCACGGTGACCCCCATAAAGCATTAAATTTTTTGTCATCAGCAGGACGCTTAAAACTATTTCAGTAGTTAAACTTATCAAAATTAACAGATGATTTCTCCTTCAAGAAAGCTTGTCATGCTACACTTTTCTGTCCTTATTAAAATTTCTTAAGATTTTACACAAGTAGAACACAATCTTTATGTGCTCCGTTGCCATGGTTGATCTTGCGCTTGTGTGTGTGTTTACTGGAACATCGGGGTGTGTGCGTGTGGGTGTATGTTTACTCAACTTTTATTAATTTACTAATTACAGCATCTAGATTGTAGTCTGTAAAAACAAAACATAAAATGGGACATATTATCACTCCGCGGCATGATTTCCCGTTCGCCCGTTGCTAAGACTCTCTCGCCTAACCATTGTCGCCCTTTAAAAGGCGTCATGGCTACCTTGTGCGCGCCTTTGATGAAAGAGGCGCGCCACTTAAGGGGAACAGGGTTGTCAATATGCCGTCTCACCATTGTTCTCCTACCATAGCGTGCTAAATGCGTTGATTTGTAGTTTAAATGGAGCTGAACGTGTGGCTTTGGCGGCGAGCCTTGACCACATACATCCTGCAAATGAGTTAGGGGAATGCCTTGACATTTAGGGTGGAGCAGAGAACAAAGCGGCCGCTCTGCATCCGCTCAGTGGTACAAACTTGTCCACATCTTAGCGCTACGCCGTCACATGATACCCTGAGGGGTGGAATGGACACACAGGGCAGGCAAAAGTAAGTGAAAACGTGGCTACACGCTCAGACTGGAGGGGGAGCAAGTGTTTACCATTGGGGCATATCGGCCAACCTAAATACAATTTGCATCAAATTAAATTCCAATGTGCGCCGAACAGTTGCGTTTAAGGAGAAATTTTGGTAGCCAGTTGTTTTTTTGCATTGTTCTGGTAGTCTATAAATGGGTCTGCGACTTTCTCCACCTCTTCAGTCGGACTGTGATGCACTCCCAATTTAACCTATTTCCACACGAGCAATGGCATTTCCTTCGAAGACGATCCACGTTGGATTGGATGGGATGTTTAAGCCGAATTCGCCTTCTCCTGTTGAACTCCTCCACCGTTCAGTAAGCAACAAATTAAGAGATATAAGGAAGCATTCTGGAAGGCAAATTATAATGAAAGCTTACCAAATGACTAAAAAAGGATGACAAATATAAATTACAGTTCTTAAGAGGGGAACAATGAGACACGTTTCTTATGAGGATCCGATTCCATTGACCATTTTAAGTACTGAGACGCTTGGTGATAGATAAATAAATGCACAGATAAAGTGCTTTTACGCATTTAGTGCTAAGGTATTTCAATACGGCTACAAAACGGTCGTATGGTTACTTCCTACTTATAAAAATTCAGTAGGCAAAATTAATAACTCTTGTAGCTTGGGTGTTCAGAGGTTCATAGTCTAACATTTCTCGCACCTCCTTTAAGTTAAATTGCCTTTTTAAGCCCTAAGTTTAAAATGAGTGATTGCGAGGAGTGTGGCGACTCGTGCATTGTATCGTCTTCAAATAGCGAAGTTTGCTGCTTTTGTGATAGGAATTTTTGGTTTATCGAAGTATGCGCCGGCTTAAAGTCACACCTATTCATAATCCGTCAAAAGTGAAACTTTTTTTCACACTATTTACCTCTAATTTTAAGCTTATTGGGGATGTGAACTGTATGAATAGCTCTCTCTTTAATTTGGGAATTTGAGATCGGAAACTTGATTGGCTCTGACCAACAGCTACCTGCGATCAACAGCAGTTTTACCGCGAATGGTGGGAAGTTACGCAAATGTACACATGCAAACACAAACACACCCACACAAACACACGAGCCTATCGTACAATCGAGGCAGACGTGATTGGCTGTTTCACGTGCTCCGAATCACTCTTACTGTGCCCTGATTGGTGAATGTTAAAAGCCTTACTGTTAAGCAGTTACAACTCCCACATTTGTGTTAAACACAATCGGGGAGGTGAAAGTATGGCATCTGCGTCAAATGATAATGCGTTGGAGGAGAAATTCCTTCTCTTCTGTGACTTTGTGAGAAAGGGCTCGACTACAGCTACTGATAAGACAATTAAGCGTATCTTCACAGATGGTGGAATTTATTGCAAGGGTATGGACCCGAATCGCGTGGACATTGAGTTCCGCGGGTTCGTCGGGAACACCAAACGGTGAGGCAGGTGGCGATCATTTTTCCGTTTTCCCCATTAAACGCATCCCATTCACTTTAAAACGTGATTTATTTGCATTTCATGCATTCGTTTGTAGCGCGACCAACAAATTATTTTCCAATGCTCCAAGAACGCTATTCTGATGTCCCCTTTTGTTTGAAAACGATGACTGGTCATGAGTTTTCCTTCATTCCCGACCACAAGTTCCTAGGAGCAAGTTCCGCTGAACGCTTATCGTTTTTGGGCTCGTGAAAGGCTTAATGGCTTCCTAAAAGCAATCCTCTTTTACGATCCTTTTAATCGCATGACAGTGCGAAGACGTGGAGATGAGAAAGTGAGATTAGTTGCTGTAGTGAGTGCTCGTTGCTGATTGGTTCGTTTTGCAGCGCCAAGATTGAATTGCTCAACTGATTTCGATTGAAAACGCCTAAATTGCTTTATTTAGTTACTAATATTAACAAAGAGTGACCTTTTTGTGGTCAGTGAAGCAAAAAAGGCTGGACCGCAAGGTTACATTGTGGAAAGGGTGGCCTGAAGAGCAGATGGTGCTGCATGGGGACACACTTTATTGTGTGTGTGCGTGTGTGTAATAAACATAAGTTGCAGTTCCCACCCAATTTCAGCAAGGCAGGAATGCTTTCACCGTCGTCATCCCAATTTTTAAATTCAGTCCATAAAGACCTCACCTAGGAAGTGCAATAGTTCCCTTGATTTACATGCTTTTGATGCCCACTTGAAGGGCAGGGCAACAGGGCATCAGCAATTCTTTATCGTCTTGGCACGACCTTGTACAAACTGAACCCGCGTTGTCAAATCCTGCTAGCGAGGATGTCTTCCAAGGTAGTAGGCTATTGCCGGCCTTTCTCAGTTTGACAACGTAGACAGGCGCGTGTTTTGAGCGGGCACAACTGAGAAGGAAATTTGGACTTTGCAACAAAAAGTTTAAAAAATGTGTTGGCTAAAAAAGAGTCCAACATCGGGCAAGTTTTTGTTTTCACGTTTCCGTGCGGACTCGTCATCGCCTTGGTCCTGTCAGTGCGTGTGGCTTGGTGGTGTGACTGAAGGGGTCACGTGACCTCCATCAAGTGCCTTCCCTTACTCACTACCAACGCGTTTTTTTTTTTTGCTTTTTGTGCTGCAAGCTTAGTTATGAAAAAAGGTGAGGCATCTTCCCCTCGATAACCCTGAGTCATAACCCTTCTTCCACTTTGCTGCAACCGCGTTAGCTATGAAGTGTTGCATTGTGCTCTTTCCTTTCAGGGACGTAGACTTTAAGGGCTTTGTTGAATTCCTCGAAGGTCGACTAGCAAAGACATATGCTGCAGCCAAAGGCATTGAGGATCAAGCTGAAGCGGCGGCCACTCTGAAGTCATTGGTGGAGAATGCTACACCCCAATTGCATGGCGCTACGGTGAGTTCTGATGCCCAGTCCCACACCGTCCTGGCTTATAAGGCTAATCGGAAGGACAAAGAGTTCATTTAGACACCAAGTAGAAGGTGCACAGCCATGGCCAGAAGGCATTTGTCAATCACGTCAACTGTCACGCGAGCCTGCCACGTTGGTCTGGTGGCTTATCCGCCTAGAGGAATTGGGGTTGTGTAGTTGGGTGCAGTTCACTTACTAACTTTCCCATTAAAGGTGTGGAAAATTTATTGCCAACATTAAGATAGTCTGAAAGGTTTAGACCAAAATTAGAAGTCCAAGGCTCTAAGATGAGGGTCTAAAACAGTAAAGCATCTTTTCTAACCTTGTTTTTGTTACATGTGGAGAAAACGGTGCCGCTGATTTCCACATAAGTAGTGTGTTCTCAGGATGAGAGTTGCATTCGGTAAAAGCTGGTCAAACAGACTGAAGCCATAAATGTTCCGTATTACTCGAGGGACCTGCCCCACACATCACCTTTTAACGGAAAAATTGGTGATCTAAGAGATCTGTGCCCTTTCCGTGTCCTTCAGATGTGGCTGATCCGATCAAAAAGATCATTTCGATTGGGGTTGCAACCTAAACAACTAATCGGGTGCCCAGAAGCATATCCAAAGCTGATGACCAAAAGTGCTAATTGATATATGAAAATCGGTATTTAGTTAACTACCTCATGATGATATCCAAAGCAATAAATAGATGACCTCATGCAGTGTCAAAATAAAGGTCACTAATTCGATACCATTACAGGGAAAGTACATAGTGCCTTAACAGCTAAAAACCTCCCATGTTGTAGTTACTGCTCAGCCTATGAAGTACTTTTGAAGAAAGCCTGACTTTGGTACTCAACAAGCAAAATCGCGGACCAATTGAGGTTAAACAACTCACGAGAAATAGCCTCAACAGCCAATGAAAAGTCAAGGTCATTTGAGTTAACCAAGTCAATGCAAACGATCGTATTTTCCTTTCGCACAAACGTGATCTTTTAAGCTATTATGCTCCTACGATAAGCGGAAATTACTTTAATTAATTAACTTCCAACCATTTTGTTTTCTGCTCTGTCCATGAACTTCGCGATTTATCTGTTTCACCATCATGGATAACCCAGACCAGCATTTACAACTATCACAATTATTTAAGCTTTTGTACATGTATGCGTATGTGTGGGCTAGAAAATTGACCTCTATTGCGTGGCTGAACGAGTTTTCATCCACATTTGCGTGTCTTCCAATCCAAATCACCTCAACAAAATGGTCATCGCATCAATGCGGCCGGTAGTTAAATGGAGTTTTGGAATGGCTTATTTATAACATTTGGCCTCCTAGGTGATAAGCCTTGCCAGTATCTGGTCATATAGTGTAAAAATGGCACCAACATTGAGAAGGTCGAGCATTAATCTCCGAAGTGAAAATGCTTAAGAGTATTTGCATATGTAAAGTCGGGAGGTCCCAGGTATCTATGCTGGAAGGGAAGTTGGAGAGGATTCTTTTAACACAGCGAAAGTAGATTGGTGTTGGCTGTGGAGTGTTTAATTGTGAGGACAAGGCTCCACAATCCCATTTCACATTGTTTTATTTGGTGAGGGAAGAAAAGTTTCGGATACACGCTTTTCACGCGCCTGCCCCATAAAATTATCGAAGAAAGTAAATATCACGTGTTATTGCTAGGTGGTAACACTTCGGCTTTACACTTGTCATAAAAGTGATTCACTTTTAGATGTCTATGTAGGTGTCCTGCTGTCTAAATAATGGTGAGCTGCTGTATCTTGAATATTCCCGGGTTAACTCGTCAGTGGTTTTTTCCATGCAACTCCATCACCCACTGTTTATTCTTTAAGCGAAGAGATGTGTAGAGCCATACACCTCTTTTAGCAATTTACGAAAAAATTAAGTTTGTATTTTAGTTGGAGTTTCAAACGTCTAAAATGAAGACCCTGCTTTAAAAAAATTTGGTTTTTTTGGCCATCAAAGTTAATTAACCTCGCCTTCATTCTCGTTATGGAATAAGGCATAGATTATCTTAAGGCAAAATTTAATTCAGATTGGTTTGGGAACGTACAAATGTTGGTCTGTACAGATAGTAAAGTGGGTAGCGATTGACCAATCAGCTTGAGACCTCAAAAGACGAGCTTGTATGCTCCATTTTGATTGGTTGATTGCCGACAAGGATCTTCCGCTCGCATATAATCAAATTTTGTCCAAAGTATGGCATACCCTTTTTCGATAGAAAAATAGCCTCCATTAAATGCGCTATCCCACAGAGAATGGCTTTGAATGTTTGCGCTTAATTTTCGAACACACAAAAATGCGTTGTTGAGTTTTTATTGAAAATGGAAGCTGGTATAGATTACATTTTTATTTTTTTCCATTCCGCACTATAGAAAACCAGTACAGATGCTACTACAGCACGGCTGACCGATGTTAAAGGATACACAGGTTCAGCAAAAGAACGCTTTGATCTTTCCACTGGTAAAGGGAAGGGCAAGGCGGGTCGGGAGGACCCGCCTCCAGCTTTCACCGCCTCGGGTATTTCGGCTCCTAGAAAGTGAAATTTAGGTGCATAAATTGCTGCATTATTCCATGCTCCGTCTGTCCTTTCAGTATCCTCTCCTTTAGAACATCTTATCACTTTTCCTGTTTTTGGTCTTTGTTATTTCTACTCCCTTTAACTTCCACAAATCTGTGTTTGCATGGACTAAATTAAAATAAGGAGGTGTTACGTAGCGAAAGGAAGCTTAGTTACTGGTAATCGAGGGCACATAACTTTGTTTGACAACATACATTGTAGTAGAAATAAAGGAACTTTGGCTTTTGACATGATCCGGAGGGACCGAAATTGCTTTAAATGGGCCTTCCGCGCCATTTCTCACAACCAAATTAATGCCTCAGATAAGTTAGGGGCTTGGCCCCAAATTTCCGGTTTCCCTCATCGATTGCGAGTGAGAATCCGGAGTTTGTTTAGCCTCAGAGGGTGATTTAGGCCCTTAAAATTCGTCTGTCCGGCACTTGTGTCCAGATTAAAACACATTCGCTATAGACAAAATGGTATCCAACACAGTTTCGTCTGAATTAAAAATGACAAAAAAAGGATCCCCAACAAGTTGTACGCAGTAGATATCCGATCCCAACTGTGATAGCTCTTTAGCAGATGGCAGGAATGGAGTAGGTAGGTTCTAGCTAAAAGGATGGATTAGAGATGTGAGCATAAGGATAGGAGTTTGTCAAATTCCGCCCTTCACCCTCATACGTGGCCACTGAAGACCAAATTACAGAGAACGGAAAGCGTATTACTTGGCTGAAAAACATGTGACCGTGAAGGGAGTCGCATTCCGGATGGGCAATGCCGCCACCCTTATGACCGCAAGTGTTGTCAGCAGTCAAGCGAACGAAACATTGTATATACTACCATTACGTAATAAGTAACATGTTTCAAAAAGTAAAATTTTTACGTTCATGCAATAGATAAGCAAATATGTCGGATAACTCAGGCGAAAGGTGTCCGTAAACTTCTTTTACTGAATGCTATGAGTGTTACACTACAAAAGGACGTTCCTCCTCCGACGGCTGCTATATTAGGATGATATGTTGATACGAACAACCAACTCAAGTCAAGGTAGAAGGCGCGTTTTTGCGAGTTAGTCTGGCACATTTTAAAAGTCCTTGTGAACACAAAATGCTAAGCTCTGAATACCCAAATGAAAGTGCACGAGGGTAATGCAGGTAATGCTTTGTTTATATGACTAACTGACGTTTGGGGGTCGCTTTAAGATTCGTCTGACCCTTGTACTCGTGGGCTGGCCTTCAGGGCATGCCCAGGCCAATTTTTTCTGTCCTCTTTGGAATGCATGTATTTTATCTTCACTTACTGCCTTCTCCCAGTCGGTGAGACGTCGCTGGACGTTACAGTGCATTTAAGAGGCGATAAACAATAAAAATTAAAAACTCTGCCTAGCAGATCAGCATTTACATTTTTAGAGACAATGCATACAAGATAACAACGGCCAAAGCCAAGGGTCTGCCAAATAAAATTTTGAAATTAAATTGAATTAATTGTGTTACCTTGTTTGTGGGGCCACCTGATGTGTGGTGGTTAGTTTAAGGTTCTTAAATGTAAGCTGGACTTCGGGCCATGTTCAGAACTATTTGGTTGGCCTCCTTGGAATATATGTAATTCAGCCCCAGATTATGCTTTCTTCTACCAGCTTGGAGACCTCCGGACACCATAATTATACCTGAGACATTTACAGTAAACTACAACATGTTTATACGCAAAAGGTGGGTGTGCATACACTTGTTTCGCTTGAAACATTTGTTCAAATTAAGGTTTAAGTCAAGCTAAATGAGAATGCTTCATAAGTTTCCTCTATGTTCGTGGGATATAAGTCGCTAATTAATAATTTAGATTTTAACTACATATTGACAGTGTCGATGACATCGGAACTTGCAACGGCAATAATCTCGTAGCGGCTGATTTACGTTATGAGGAGCCTGTTGAAATCATAACAAAGTACTTTCTCAACTGGTGGCCATGCTGCTTTCGCCTCATAAACTGGGTTAAGAAATGGTTAAAATAAAATTCCTATTTATTGTACCAAAACATTGTGGAAAAAACATATTAGCTAATAGAAGCAAGAAACATTTCAGAACGCACTGTACTTCACATCTTTACGTTCCGTCGTGAAGCCAATACTTATTAGATGATTATTTTAATAAAGGCTAGTCGACTGAAAGATAAGCGAAATTTTTAAAATTAGTTTTTTGCTAAAATCAACCATAAAAACAATACTTTTTAAATATTTTTTTGCTAAAATCAATATTGAATATAATACTTCTTTGACGGTTATTAAAATAAATTTTTTAAGCTAAAATTCAAGAAATATTTTGGGTGGCACTCAAGTTAACATATTCGAGGTATATACGAGCTATTCAAAAGTTTTAACTAATAACTTTAGCTATACTATTACACAAGCAAAAAAATATAATAATTTTTTTCAGTTTTAAGCTAGAGGATTAGGTTTATTGCTTTGAGCGTGGTAGTGTTTAATGGAGTTTAAAACTCTAGGTCATGCATTTTCGGGATTTCAAACATCTTGTACATCTGGTTTGCGTTGGGCGATGTCAGCTCAGGAGGTAAATGAGGTTGTTTTACAAAAACCTTCACTATTTAAGCAATGACAAGAATACCTAGATATATTTTGCAGATGTTGCATAAGTCTTAATCACAATTTAAAGTTTCCTCTTTCTCTGCCTTATTTTTTTGCCTTCATCTCTATTGCTTTATATGATTTAATATGGTTTACTGTATTTTGCCTTTTTGAATAATGCATTTTGGCATAAATTACCGTTTTTGCGTAGTAATTTTATCCTTTTTTGTAATTATAACCATTTTTGGAGCATTACATCGTCTTGGTAATTCACTAATAACTTAAGGGCGACCTGAATTGAAATGCAATGATGTAGGCATTTGGTGGAGTTATTATGGACTGTCTATCCCGCAAGATTGCTGATTTAGTATTGTGCTCTTGCTTTACTGTTCTCTGTGCATACACTAAATCCAGCATTGCGTCATGTGAAGTCAGGCATTTTCCAGTCTACCGTGTGACGACTGTTGATACACTGTGCGGTTTTTCCACTCAGTAGGGCCTTTTGCATAAACATTTTCTGGGGCTTCTGATCACATGATTTGTTTTTGGAGCATGCTTGCTCTATCTTAATGCAAAAATATTTTGGTTTTTTGAGCCTCGTTGCTCGGAATTTCGGTCGTACAACTCCAGGCTTTTTTTAGGTCACAACTTTTGGGCCATGTCAATTTTATTTTCTTTTTTTACTAGGACAATGGTGAGAATGGGTAAGGTCGTATAAACACCAGTGGATTTGTTTTTCAAGGGAACCAGAGGTGCCCCTAATGGACGGAGTTAACGCCGCAGAATGCGTGCTGACCCAGTTCCTCCAGAACAAATTCGCCCAGGCCAAAGCCACGGCGCAGTCATTGTTGGTTCCACTTGCCATCGCCTCCCTTACTAGTAAACTTTTAGAGCCAGTCGTAGTATGTACCACGCTGTTGCCTATGGTACTATGCTTCATCTTCAAGCAACAGCCACGTTGGAACCCGTAAGTCTCCTTCTTCCTCCTCTCAACCTTTCCTTTCCCTCTATGACCATGCTAATGCCTAGCTCACCTCATCACTTGCCAAAGAGCAACGAAAGTAGGAAGCATTGACCTTATTGAACAGATTTTCTTGTTTCGGATGATATTTGAAATTGTGATGACTACATTGACAATTGGAGATGCACACACTTAGCACTGTTAGACGTGTGTTTACCTCTTCTGTTTGGCGTTCGTGTGTGTGTGTGTGTGTAGCACGAGTAGCTTGTGCACAGGCATTGGTTCTCTGCCTCACCATCTCACCACATTAACACTCACACATACACACATACATGCTCACCCACCACCACCCCCCTCACAATGTGAAAGCATTGCAAACAAGCTCACTTCGGAAGTATGCAGGTTGGCGCATGAAAGTTGGTAAAACTTAGTGGCGTTTGGCATTTACGAGTAGTAGACAGAGGTGGAGGAATCACGTCTGTCGAGGCCTTGATGATTCAATTTATGCAAACTATAACTAAAAAGAGTTGGAACATTATTTTCTCCAGAAGTGCTTGTTATTTGAGGAGGAAGCTGAGTGCAAAGGTGACCGTTTGAAGCGGTCGGTGTCTTTCTCTCCCTCCTGATCACTTTATTTTAAGAGATATAATTACCCTTTTTCGAGGTGGAAGACGTAGTGGTGGTGATGCGGATAACAAAGTGAGCAAACAAGTTCATAGGGAGGAGGAAAGAAGGAAAGACGTGATCATTTCCACACACACACACACACACACCAACAAAGCGGCAGCAACTTCAACAACAGCAATTGTTGCGAGTCATGTGAGCTTTATGACAGAACGTTTATGTGTGATTGGTGGGGAGGTCGTCTGTCTTTCTCCTTCTCTTTCTTTCTTTTTCCCTTTTTTTGTGTTCGATGGCCTTTTGCCGAGTCACACACACACACACACAGCTCTGTGTGTGTGTGTGTGTGTGAGTTTTTTTCTTTTTGACTTCAAAGGCGATTTTATTTTAATGCCTGTTTTGTACTTTTCAATCTCTCTGCAAAACCGAACCAACGCAGAGATTATTTTTGCTATTGAAATGAGGTGGAGATCGAGAAGGGAGTGCAGCATCTCTGGACTCCACTGATGGTGCGTAGGTGGCACTCACGGTCATTTGACAAGGCTGTAAGGTCTTGTCATCGAGGCGACGTCATTGGTAGTGAGTAAGTGAGACTTGGTGAACTCATGACAGAAGTCACGAGTTCGAGGAGGAGGTTGCGGTGCTGCACCACTCACCAGAGGTGTCATTGTGAGTTGTGCGTGTGAAATTTTGAGGCCACTCCTTATACGGTGTTGGACTGCAACCTGTCAAGCTGCTTGAACTTAGCCGCCGTCACCATTCATCTGATGGTGTTTCACTTCTTCCAATTGAAGGCATAAGAAGTTGTTTGTGGTTGTCTTTTAGAGTGATTTGGATGAGGCGACAAGTAGCATCAAGTACGCCGTGAAGGCATGCATGAAGAAGCGAAGGAAGGCCAAATTTGCTGACAACTTTGCAAAATCTACAAGCAAAGCAAAAGCCGCCTTCTATGCAGCCTATTCGGATGGTAAGACAATTGCATTCCAGTCTCTACTTAGCCTTTATTTACTCAACAATTCATCCAACTACCTCTCACCTCAGTCAGGGTTTGTTTGCTCATACATGTGACCAGCCATCTGGTGTCCACGCCGTTTCCACGTCTCCTTTCACT